CAAGATTTTCACATACTTATAGATCTACCTGATCTAAACCATGCTTGAAGTTTTAAATTTTACAATTACAGATTAAAATACATTTTCAGACTATTCTAAGAATTTTCAGCACCAAACTTACATCTTTAGACTGGTGTTTTAAATTGCAGGATGCGGCCCCGATGCAGTTGGGGGGCCAATGCAGCTCGATGTGGTTCAGATGCGGGTGCATCACCCCAATGCAGTCAATAAATTATAAAAAATTCTAAAAAAAAAAAAAGAGTTAATGTATAAAAAGACTATGGAGGTGAGAGTAAGTATTTAATTTATTCATTAACTTCAAAAGTATCATCTATCAGAGATTCTATATCCATTACCCCTTGATAGATCATAGAAGACACTAGAAAGTAGAAACTAAAACTTGAAACTAATGTTATAGAAGACAATAGAACTTAGAAGATATTATATTATCATAATTGATAAACATTCAAAAACTATATCACATATTCATGATCGCAAACTTGAAAGTTACAAACTAAAGGTCTATGAAGATTGAAGAGTTCAAAAGTCTAGACAAATCATCATCATTTCTCAAATCTCAAGTCTAAATCTCAAATCTTTATTAGACAAGTTATCTAGAGTCTCTTCATGTGCATCATCATCATCAATATCATCCTCGGCGGCCTCCACATATTTTTCTTCTTCTTCCTCGGCCTCCTCGACCTCGGACACATCCTCCTCCTCGACCTTTGGAATTGACATGTGACTGGCCTTTTACTCTTTTGGGTTCATGTGTTGAGTCGTACTTCTTCATTAACCCCTTCGGCTAGCTCAACATCAAAAACTTTTTTTGCCATTCTTTTTTTAAAAAAAAACAATTTGATAAAAAAAAACCACGAAAGTGGATGTTTTTTCTTTCTTTTTGAGGGAGTTTTTTTTGTCATGCTAATGTGGCACATATGTTGTGCGATGCGCTATACAGCTACATATGCGTTGGGATGCGGCACATCCCACCAAGGCGCATATGTGCTACTTTGCGATGTGCCTCCTGATGCAAACTGCATGATGCTGCCGCATTTTAAAAAATGCTTTACACAAAATTTGGAGCCGTGCTTTATTTTAATTCTTTAGAGTTGTAACCTTATGCAAATCTCACCCTTTTTTATTTGGAATATCTCATGGGATTGTTTGTAAAGAAACCATTTATCTTTTGTACATGGATGTCACAATCATTATTATTCGCGGTGTCAAATTGGATGCCTTGAGATGAGTTATAAAGTTTGAGAATTTTTTTTTTTTGAATTGTGTCTATTGAATGACACTGTTACAACCACTCATTTGAAATTTAAATGACAAAAATAAGTGTGAGCTCTATGTACAAAAGATAAATCACCTCTTTGTAGACAATCACATATTTTATATCATCAAACACAGATAAATTTTTCCTTCTTGTCCTTTATTTATTTTTTTAACCCGATTAGAATCAATGGGTGGCGAGACATGTTATAATACAAACCAAAAAGGGAATGAGGCGCATAATAGGCATTGCAGCCGTTAAAAACCCAGTAGGAGAGCAGCACTCTTGTGCCAAATGCCAATTGCAGCTATCATAGTTCAATACTTAACCAAAAAAAAAACTATCATTGTTCAAAAACCAGTGACAAATATTTTGACTGGATGGGTCCATACTTCACAAAACACTGTATCAGCTAGTATTATCAAGGCTCCTACTGCTCTGGATCAGATCCATCTGTACTCAAATTCGATCCAACTTACAATTCCGATCTAAATTTTAGATCCATATTTTCTCAACAAAAAAACGAACAACTTATCCAGAAGCATTTTAGACAGGGAGTGGTTTGTGAAACGAACAACTTATCCAGAAGCATTTTAGACAGGGCGTGGTTTGTGTAGAGCTGAGGCTCTCAACAATCAAATTGGAGCCCACCTTAAATAGTGTCGAGAAATATTGTTTCAATACTAGAAATCTTTGACTAGCCTTAAAATATATTTTCATCTTTAATTATAAAATTTAAAGCTTAAAAAATAGTGTAGATTGAACAAATCTATAAAAAGTTGAATAACTTAAAAAATTGATGGTCCAAAAATGCGTTTGCAAGATGCACTATTTCCAAAACTTGAAATCCATACTTGGGCATCACAACAACTTCATCTAGTGAAACTTTTGGGATAAGCTCTAATTTGATTGTTTAGAGACTAGGCTCTATATAAACTCTTCTTTTTTAGAAAATCTACTTTTCCCTTTAAGAAAAAGACAAGCTTTCTATGCTTTCCCTGCATCATAGAAGTTCTATCCTCCCCTCTATCCAAACGTCCATTTTGAATGGAGGGCTAAGATTGCCCCATTCACAATGTCACACCTCTACACTTTTATTTTTAATTTTTTTCTATAAACTATTTTAACACCAAATTTTGGACATTCATTCCTCTATTAAACTCGCACTAGCAAAAAATATAAAAAAAAAATTTTCAATAATAAAATGACCAAAATACCCCTAAAAGTTTCAAGGGGTATTTGATCAGTATATTTTATCTAAAAAATATTTTTAATATTTTTTTATAGGTGCGCCCCAATGAGAAGATGACACATACCAAATTCCATATTCATACAATTTGTATAAAAAAACTAAAAATAAAATACTTTCAGACATCGGATCTAAAATCAAACGGTGAGTGGCTTTCTTGATCAAAATTGGATGGCTGGATGGTAGAGAGAAGATAGAACTTCTATGCTGAAGGAGAAGCATAGAAACCTTTCCCTTTAGAAAATATACAACAAAACGGACTTTGAAACAACCATCTTTTTTCAATCATAGTGGTCATGGGTATATTGCTCGCTTGTTTAAAATATGCATTTCATATGACTGATCATATAAATTTATTTTGACCATATCAGACGATCAGTAAGGGCCATGCATGCGTCCGGTGTCAGACTCGGCTCCTATTGTTGATAGATATGGGCATTGTAACTAATTGATATTTTAGGGTTGGCTTTCACCATTCGCAATGAGTGTTCCTTTTAATGAGAGAGTTGATAATGACAATCTTATTTGTGGTTCCAAAGGCTTCTTTGAATCTATTTCATATTCATTCCCAATACAATAATAATGTTGATCAGTCATTAAGAGGAGCTCTTTTTGCCTTTTTTTGGCATAGTCGTTGCTGTCAGGATAGCAGCACTAAAAATATTTTGAGTCTTAATATTAAAAATCAGACCTCTCCACCGCACCCAACCCACTCCACCCCACCCCACGCACCCACCCCACCCACCTACCCACCCAGCCACCCACCCCCCCACCAAAAATAAAAATATAAAAACAAAGTGAAAACTGAACCACATTTGTGACATTAAGACCTTGTTTGGACAGCCCAAAAAATTGATCAAGGATTTATTTGATGTTTGCTAAGCATTCTTTTATTGCAGAGTAAAGATGATTTTGTTAAGGGATTGTATACAATGAGACCATTTATTTTTATTACAAAGACGTCACAATTATTCCTAACCATTAGATATCAAATTTGATGGCTTAGGAAGTTTCACAAAGTTCAAAAAAATTTTCTTTGAACTTTGAGTGTAGTAAAAGATACTTACCAGCACCCATTTAAAATCAGATGGACAAGAGTGATTGTAACCTCTTGATATTAAAAGTAAATGGTCTCCTTATTTACTTTTCTTTTTGTCAACATGGGCTCGGCCATATATAATAGAGGGTACAAGCTGCACAGTTTTTCACTCCTAAATTGGTGCAAGAGCAAAGATAAATAGCTATTCCTTTTCAAGTGGTCCCGCTCAAAGAGGACCCAAAGAGGACAACCATTGACTCGCTGAAGTACTTGCACACCAATTTTACATATTTCAGGTTTCATAGAAAGCCCATAGTGGAGGGTGGAAAGAGAGCCAAGCCTAAACAAATAGAGAGGGAAATGCACGATTAAGAACATGAAATGGCGTCAAGGCTAATAGGCAGGTTGAACCAGCTTTGGAGGTCATCAAGGGTTAATGGCACTATAGAGAGAGGTGCATAGTGGCAATTAGAGATGTTAGGACAACAGTGTTTCTGGAGCTTCGAGACGTATAACAGACCAGCTAAGATTACAAGAAGAGGATTCATTAATTCAAAGTTGAAAATGCTTTTAGCAACAAACCTTTGGAATGACATGTAGCACACAATACAAACTCTTTGAGGTCAGGCTGTGACTCCAATGTTTAAGGATTCTTTTGACGTGGGAGTCATTGATGGGTCAAAGGAGGGCGTCAAGGAAGGATGAGATTGAAGAAATGAGTGAACTATTAGCTAGGTTTAAAGACATCACATTAATGAAAGTTGGGATCAGGGTTTCGAGTAAGCAATGGAGTATTTTTTATCAAGTTGGTCCTAATAAACAATGTAGAAATGAGTTGTCAATAGTCAAATGCCCTGGATTCCCAATTCAGACTGTCAGACAACTAGGATTAAGGAAGAAATAAGGGAGCTTCTAGAAGTTCCATATTTGTATTCTAAACACGCGCCAAGGCGTTTCACAGTGAAGGGTAACTCCATAAATGTAAGTTGACGAGCAATATGAGAGGGAGAAGGCCCTTGGGAGCCTGTTGCTACCATGGAGATGATGTATAATGAGACTAATAACAGACTAGATATCTTTTTCTACTTCTCTATCATGTAATGATGGACACATATCAGGTGGCATGTTCTCTAGCTTGAGAAGAGTTAATTAGAGGAAGCTAACCTATGGGAACTCCATCTCTCCCAAGAAATGCATCCATTATGTTGCTTGTATCCCAGTATCCTAGTCATTAACTAAAATTTGTGGGAAGTTTCACACCTAATCATCATGAGTCATGACTATTATACATACAAGGTCATCTTCTGCACATAATAATTTGTATTACTATCATTTCCATGAGCAAGGTATGACCATGTAAACATAATGATAACATCGAAAATTTGCGCAATATTTGGCATGCATCTGACCCATGCTAAAACTATCTGGCATTCAACTGATATCAATGCTAAAGCTATATGATTTATTGGCAGCAGATAATAATATTTTCAGCAATGTGTATTAACATATCATTTAGCAATGGTTAACAAATTTGTAATCCTGACCTCTGCCAGCCTGAGAGGGCAATCAATCAATCCCTGCGGATCCTTCCCCAGAAACTCTTTCTTCTTGTAGAATCATTCTCTGAGACAGACCTCGTGGTCCTTGACCCAATTGAGAAATGCCTTTTCAAGAATGGACCTCCAAGAAAACCTTTTGCACTGGAGGTAGCCACCATCTTTGGATCCTTCCCATCTCTATGACGATTAGGAACAAGCGATTCATTATCTAAATCAATATCTGCAACCCCAATTCTTGATATCTTGTTTCTCACTCTAGAATCACTAGCATCCAGCCTCGAGGCTTTCTCCCTTGATATTCGAATCTTAAGACCTTTCTCACCAACCAAGCATAGAGGACAAGGTGGGTCATAACGATTAGGCTCTGGTGTGGTGTGCTCTAAACAATCAGCATGGTAGACATGACCACAAAAGAGAACACCAACTACAGGGGCATCGTAACTGGTTATTAAGTTTTGGCTGCTATAAGGGGACCTATCGATTAAGGGTTTTGAGCAGATTGCACAAGCTTGTAAATCCATTGAAGGCGAAGAGAGATGGTGGCTGTTTGATCTTGTCATCTTTCCAACCAAGCACTCACTGTCAAAAGACCACCTCTCTCTTCGAGAAGAAGCCACAAGTTCGGAGAAGGTACGCATGGACCACCTATCGGAGGACCCACCTTGAGATCCATGATCGTTCAAATAGTTCCGAGATGATGAGGGGTCGGTGGTCTTCGACCTTGATGCAGAGGGCGTTGAAGGAACAAACTGAAGGAGTTTAGACTTAGAATTGTCTGAGAGAGTTGGCGATCTGTTGAAAATCTTCTCCTAGAAAAGTAATGAATGGGGCATATTAGGAACAACAGAAGGATCCCAAAGTGTACTGAGATTTCTTCTTTATAACAATATAATATAGCCAGTTGCAAAATGACAAAATAAGAAACAAGAAATTTGTTCTTTGACCAGTAAGAAACAGTAAGATATTTTAAAATATGAAGAGAAATAAGTTTTCAGAGCTTAGGATGGTTTTGGATGGGGTCCAGAATTTAATTTCGGCATTTCTGATCTTAAAGAGGCCAGATTCTAAATTGAATATTATAATTTGGTAATCATAAATAAGAGAAAAAAGGCTAAATTAGAGAAAGAGGACCAAAATCAGCCTCAAAAGGCATTGATGTAAATCAATATAGCTAGAACTGGAGGCATGACAGCCAACAATGTGATGCCAAAGCGAGGGCCAGAAATATTTCAACCAAAATTCGAGAAAGTCACCAAAACTTAGATGACAATGGTAAGTACCATTGCAACCGGTTCCAGCTCACCTCTGCAGGATATTTTTGCATCAAGGATGGACTTGAATTTATGTCTGTTGAGATGTGCAAGAAGTAAAGAACAGTATTAGAGAAAACACATAATCCAAATTGGATTGAAGAATATGTGAGAGTCAAGTATATCTCAATTGAAGAATATGTGAGAGTCAAGTACATCTCAATCAAATAAGATTCAAGGGTTAAATGTTATGCAGCCATGTCATGTTTCAAAAGCCATCCACTAAACTAACATGGGAGCAAATATCTGTTTCAAATCAAAGCTTGCATTTGGGGCTAGTAAAGCTTGATAGTCAACAAAAAATAATAATAAGGTTTGCTAAAAATATTTCACCTTTAGGAGGGAAAGCGTGCAGTTTACATGCCAACATAAAAAGAATATATGTACTAATTTTATAGCTTGAGTTCTTGAGCATTCCATGCTTAAAGCAATCATTTTATGTATACAAAAAAAAGTACTCCATACTTCAAGCTCCTCCTGGATGTATTCTAAATACAAATTCTCATAATGCAAAACTAACTAAATAATTTAAACAGAGAATATGGGTGCACTTAACATCCAAATAGTAAATTCCAGTAATAAAAATTCTCCTATTTAACTTTCCATTGCTCATTGCACGCATTCTTCACATCCTTCACTGCACACTTTGGTGGGAAATCAATTGCCTTGAACATCTTGCTCTTGTTCTATGTGATTCACACTTGTTCTTTTGCCCTTCATTCAGGGAATAGAACATCAGGTGCCTAAAAGAACAATATTAAATGCTCAGAATGAAACTAAAATCTTGGATCCAGAAAAAAGAGGCTCGTACATGGAAGACCAGAGGAAAATAATCTTTTAGGCGGCAGGCACCATCAGACTTGTCTGAAATTCCAAAGTAGTGGACAAGGAATAAGGAGCAAGAGGGATATTCAGGCAACTAACCAACTTATAGAGGGCCTCTGATAACACCAAGGATATAACTGGCAATATCGAAGAAGAAAAGAGGGCAACAGTAAATTGTTTGTCATCACAAGGAATGAAGATTTACAGAATATACAGTCATACAGAGAATTTGTTAGTAAAAGGAACAGGTCGTTGGTGCAGCTACTCTTCAAAATGAAGTGAAACTGCATTCACAGATGTAGCAACCCATGGTTAGTTTTAACTGATAATGTGGCAATTAAAATGGTAGGTTGCATTCAGAAGAACATGCTCTGGAAGAGGAATGGCTGATGCTTTGAGGATAGCTTATCTCTTAAGTCATAGGAGCCAAGTGAAGCGAATGGTAAACTGGAAGGTCATCAATATTACGTAGCCCTACAAGTCAGCCGAGCAACCAAATCCATCAAAAAGAAAAATAAGAGTCTGAGAATGGTTAAAGGTGTCATCCTCCACAAATGTAACCTCATATTGCAGATTGTCCATATTCCAACAAATGCTATAACACATGGCAAACAACATAGCCAATACGGGTATAACTAAGTTTGCAGAAATGGGATTTCATGTCGTCAATAGGTAACTATCCGTCAATTGCATGTCCTTCACTTGAAGGTCATTAGCTTATTGAAGCACATAGCCCCCGTGAGGCCTTTCTGGAGTCTGTGGCTCATATGAGAGGAGGAGTTCCTGTAGAGTATTAATCCCAAATTTGCAAATGAACCTGTATAGTTCCACATTAGAGGATCTGGAAAGGTTTTCCAAGTTTAAACTGAGATTCTTCGCTTTTAAAGTTCTCCTGGAAAGATAAAGAGGCTTTTTTCCTTTGGCAAAGGTCATAATCAGTACCTGAATGTGTGTGCACAACGCATGCCATGCCATGTCATGACCCACGGTCCACAGTAATGACCCAAACTACAATTCTTTACGTAAATAATGTTTATTGACAACATCACTTTGCCAAAGCCACCAAAGATATGTCGTCCAGCTGTGGAAATGGCACACAACAGGTGTCACACATATGGGACATGCCAATTCATCTATGATTTATAATGTACGGGTTCTAGCAGTCTATAAATGAAAAAGTTTTGCAGCATAGAACGACACACCCACACACAGCCCTTCTTTTGTTAACAGCAATATCTTTCCTCAATCTAATACTCAGTGACTCAGCCGTACCGCAATGTGTGTTTCCCTTTGGTGGAAAAGACGAGGGTGGTCTGTGAACCTGTTCGTGATCTGATCATGGGCATTCCCTCTCTTCTGTGCTAGCTGGCTTTTACTTTCTGTATAGCATAGAGCTGTCTCTCTCTCTCTCTTGTCTAATATTTGGATCTCACTAGTCGTTTTAGATAGCTGGACTGATTCTATGTGCACAATGGATTCTTTATCAAGCTGCCCACTGGTCATTAAAGCAGACATCAGTGGGCTCTGCATCAAGCCTTCACTCCTTAATGAGGAAGGAGCACAACTTCACTCCAATGCACCTATCACCCAATGCAACTGCTATGTTAATATTATGGACCACTAAAAACCATCTTTATGTTCGGCATATCTTCAGAACAGTTTGCGCATAAACCTTTGGCAGAACCTGTGAGTCTGTTCCATACATCAGCTTCTACTTGATTTTAACCATTTTTGAAATTTAAACTTTTATAATTAGATATAAAAATAGATTTTGAGATAATCCTAAGAACATTTTACCTCAAATTTATATACCATGATAAAATTTGAAGGTGCACCTTACCGCTACACCTACGGATGCATCCGTATGCAAACTGCTCCCTATATATATATATATATCCAGGTCAGGTCAAGTCAACCCTAACCCAGACCCCATCCCGCCCGGCAATGTAAGAGATGGACCCAGGACCAGATCTGATTTGGGTTGGAGCCAAGTCAAATGGACCCAGACACGACCAGTCTGGTCCAGCATCTGGATCCAAACCTGGACCTAAGTAGGACCAGCCCCGACCCCAATGATACCCCTATTAACAATAAGAGGACTATATTAAGTCCAATAATTCATGGCTTAATTATTATGTTCAAATTGCAAGTTGTTATTTGTGTGATCGGAGAATGGTTAGAAATATTAGCTTCAGGAAGTAAAGTTATGGTTTCCATTCCTACGTATTGTACCCATTAACAAAATCGCAAAAAAAATAGGAAAAAAACAGAAATATTTTGGCCATTTTGAAATTATTGGTACTTCATTCTAGCAATCCCCCAAAACTATGCCCATGCTCAAAAACCCAAGACCCCGACTTCTTTTTCTTTCTTTTGGGTATGTCAGCAGTGGCATTCAAACCTGGAATGTGGTGTTGATGTTGTCAATTCCCTAATGATCAAGTCAGGTGCCCATACCCCATGCCTCTCACTTCCCGAAGCTCAACTTCAAGAAAAACCTCTACCTACAATATAACTACCAGTATTCTCCAAGCTTCAACCCTCTTCTGCACCCACCATCCACCAGGAGAGCCCTTAAAGCGTACAAGCCTAATATTTCAGATTTCGCTCATTGCCAGGCACCATCATATTGCCTGATATATCAGAGCTCAAGGGCAAGATTTTAAACTTTGCTTCTAAGAAGCACTGCAACACTCAATCCTCACTATGACCACAACATGCCCTTGTTGCACACATAATCACATACCATTTCTTTCCGATCCAATCTACCAGAAGCTATCTCCTACTTACCCCATGTCCTCCCTGATGTCACCTACCAACTAATACTCTTCATTGATGTTCTACCACCATAACCCTTATACCCTTGTTCCTTCCCGTGGCTTGAAAAGAAGCTCTCAAGCATCCAATCCACATAATTTGGTGCCATTAAGTAATCTCTACTCGTAGCAAGGGAGATTGAGGCCGACACTAGCATACCTTGTGCGAGTCCCACATACGCACGTTAGCCCTCTGCAAAACCTCTTGTGTTTTCTTCTGAATCTTACAATGCTAAAATATAGGTTTTATGCTTGGTATTCTTCCTTTCACGTAAAATATTCCCTACATGTCATCCCTTCCCTTTGTTACATCTCATATGCCCTGCATGGCCTCTTAATTTACTTTTATAACAATCAATAAAAAATCTGGTCTTCATTGTGTATTTCCTCATGGCATGAAACATACCACTACTTCCACCCAACGATGCCCCTAATATGCTCTCAAGCACCCACACCTATTCTTATGTTTATTGTGAATTTAGTTTTAAGAACAACTCAATGTTATTGCCAATTATTCATTCGCTTGCAATTTCTAAATGGCATACTATAGTCTTTGAGGATAAAAATGTGGGATAAACATAGTATCTTACTCCTGATCGAATATTTAATTTCATTAGACCATGTGTTATCCTACATCATGGCAAATGTATAACTGAAGAAAGAAAGTTAACTGTCACAAAGCTTTCCCCTAATCTTACCAGATTTATTCACTATATTGCACAACCTTTTCTTGAACACAGCACCAGCAGTAGTAATCAGCAGAAATCTTTAATGGTCTAGATTCAGAGCAACTTGCACAAAAATATTTTAATGCTCTCCTCATTCCAGACCATTGTTGACTTTTAAAGGCATATCTAATATTCTAGAAAATAGCTTGCAGAAGAAACCAAATCTCACATGTAAACTTAAAAAGATCATAAAAACAAAGGGACTGATTATGCACAGCAGATTGAGAGCCAATTTATATCATCCAATGAAAGAAAAACTTCAAGAACCAAAACTGAACTTCATATTGACAACAGTTGATTATAAAAGACAGCCCTAGCTTTACTTGCAATAATTCAAAGGACCAAAATAACCTATAACCATGCATGCTACAGGTAGTTTTTGAGTAACCTTGGAGGCTGGAATATGTGGAGGATATCCAGCATATCCTTTCTTCATGCTAGGTTAATTATCCCATGTCATCATAAATTGAGGTAGGCCTTTTCAAAGGCCAACTTGTTGGCTTGTGAGGGAGTCCATAAAGACTCATTCCAGATTTAAGGGTCTCATCACTCATTGTGACATTCCCCATTGCACTCTCATTTCTCCCCCTTCATTCTTCCTTCTATCCCCCAGCTTATTGGGTCTTTAGATCCCTTTTATCCTCAAAACGTTTCTTTTAAGAATAGTAACAGTGACTCACTAAACTTTGATGGCTGCTTTCTAGGCAACCCAGGCGCAGTAGGCATTGGGACCATCATCAGAGACTACAATGGATGCACTCTATTCTCTTTCTCTAAATTCTTCGGGCATGCTGATTCAACACCACTGTGGCTCTTGGCCCCTACCCTCCTCGAAGGTCTCAAGAACTTCGATCGCTCTAAAAACATCATTACCTAGGCCTCAGGATCCTCAGTTACCCTTAGAGACTAGGGTATGGTTTTGACAAAATATGCCATATTTGCAGGGCTTTGCATGTCTTATGGAGACCTTTCTGGAGCGAGACCAACTTAGCAGCCGACGAACTCGCTAAAGTGAAGCAATTTGAGATGACTCACATGGAACCTTTTTGAGCTCCTAGTTCCTTTGTCCTTTTCTTTTTTGTTGGACCTACACTGGATATAGAATTTTTTGATCTACCGCTTCCCCCCTTTGTTTATAGCCCACCCAACAGGGGAGTTTTTGTCATAGAGCACCCAGTCTGTGGGTTGGCAAATTTTTTTGTACCTTGATACTTTCCTCTTAATACAAACATCAACGAACTCTAAAAAACGAAAAAAAGGAAGAAGAAAAATAAAAATAAAAAAAAATAAAAAATAAAAAAAAATAAAAAAGGTGAAAAAGAAAAAATGCTATTAGAAAGTGTAAACACAGAAAAAATCACTACAAGGTCGAAACCCTTGAATGGAGACAGAAAGGAATAGAATTTTCAATACAAATACCCTTCTTAGCCAAAGAATCAGCTCGCTCATTAGCAGCACATAACAAAAGCTTTAAGGATAACTTCCTCCCATGAATCGATTAAACACCGCTTCAACGAGGTAGGCAAATCACCAAGGATGGGGAATTAGCATGATGGCCACAGGATCGCATAAAAGGAATCACCCTCTACCAGCAAGTCCCTGCTCCTGCTAAAAACAATGGAAGCCAGTAACAAGAGCTCTAACTTCAGCTTCGCTAGGGCCACCTACCCTGATGAGGTTCATGAACATCAAAAAGGTATCACCCAAATCATCCAAACACCAGTCAAGCCAGGGTACAAAAGCTGCATCAAACCTTAGACTTAAGGCCTCCACAACACCAGCAGTTGCTGGATATGTGAAAAATAGCATTGCTGGCAATCATTGTTATATTATGTTGAGGTTCAGCTGCAGAGATAACCCAAATTTGTGCTCTACATGTCACCCATGAGAAGATGTTCACCCTGATTTTCTCCGTTAGGCAGAGCCAATTAATATGGTAGCCCATCAAAGATGCGGCTAATCCACATGCCCCAAATATTCGCCAAGATGCGATCTTACCTCTCAATGGCATCAGGAGGAAAAGACCAGCTGGAAAAGTTTCCGAAAAAAAGAGAGAAAAACAGCTGGATAAGAGGTCACAAAATGGAGGGAGTACTTACGTTTTAAAATAACTATGAAGGACCATGTCTCAATAACTATGGTACAGTGCATCTGCAAAGAGGGGTCAACCAACTAGGCATTTAGTTTGTGCAAGGAACAAATGTTGGGTTTAGATATCAAGGAAACTGAGCGACTCAAAGATCAGCATCTAGGAGGTTGCCATATAACCCAGACTAGGCAGTAGGATCAAAATAATTACAGGCTTAGTTGCCAAAAGAAAAATTTCCCCACCTGCAAAAGTAATACCTAACAAACGAAGGAAACAGAGAGCCAGCCTCTACCAGGAAGAGGTACCTGGAAGTACGGATAAGTAAATAAAGAGTATAAAGCAAATTTGTCGAATTGGGAATATGTTTTTCTTTTTAGTATCAATTTTTACTGAATGTTTTTTTAATGTAGAAGTAAGAATATGTTAAGTGTCATTCTCAATACTTGTCCAGGGAAGATAACAAAATTGTTCCATAAATTGGATAGAAGGAACAATTCCAATTGGGTGAAGGGGTGCTAGCATACCGGAAACATGAAAGGAAAGGGCACAAGCACTCAAAAACAAGGTTCCCTCAATAGCTTATTATAGCTTGGTTTTAAAAGGTTGAAGGGGATGGGATAGTGGGTTATGGGGAAGAGTCCTGTTTTCGCCTCCGGTGGTCACCCCACTTTGTTTTTCTTTGTAGTTATCTTTGTTTCTTTGTATCATAGGACTAGATTTATAGTCTCTTTCAAAGAAATGTTGGTGATAAAATAAAAAGCTTCTATAGAAGATAGAATGTGGACTTAAACAAGAAATGGTGACATTTCACTTGCTAGCCTCATCTTATATAATTCAATCAGGGCTAAGTTTTCGGTTCTTGCACCTGACTGAAAACTTTTCTACTAACTTTTTAAAGATGGGTAACTTCTCATGATTATGAGAATAGGGTTTTCTTTAAATCCAAGTCTTTTACAAAGTAGCTTGTGTCGGTTCAGTTTTCTTTTTAAATGTCAAAACATTCCCAATGGAAAACATAACTTTGAAATGAAATTGCAAGCACTCCAAATCATAACAAGTTTAACAAAGCACCTGAACCATAGAATGAAACTCAACAAAAGCACGTTAGGCCCCAAGATAGTCTTTTTTGTGATGAACCATCCGCGACAAGAGAACCAAAACATAGAATTAATCAGATTACTCATAATTAAACCTACCTGAAACACTAGTGTTGAAGTCATCACTATCATGAGGGTGAACCGGAGACTTCGTCCATGTGGGTGTTCTATAACTCTCCATAGGACTCTCACCATTTGAAATCGTTCCGGAACCAAACTCACCCTTGAATTCAGAAGCCATGTTCCCACTGCTACGACCAGACATATCTCGATGAGCCTGCACCGAACTGTCCACACTAGTCTCAACATGTGACCTTCCATCCCATTGAAAGCTCCATGAAGGAGAATGCATGGAGTTTACTTGATTATATTGCATATAAGGAACAGGAGATGGTGCATTATTTGATTGGGTTAAGGTTTTCTCTCTTGCAGCAACACAACAAATCGAACCCATGGTGAGTGTGTTATAGAAGGACTGTTCTACAGTAGCATAACCCAACTAAAAATCCAATGACAAGGATTATAAAACAACCGTTTCGGCCCCTTATAACTCACAGGGAATATCTTGTTGTTGACCCTTATAACTCACAGAGAATATCTTGTTGTTGACATGTCGATCAAGAGACGTGATAAACCATTTACAATATCAACAAGATGATCATAAATCACATGGATGATCACTTCAATTGGTTGTGTCACTCAAAAACCCTCAAAGGTCCATAAATCACTTGCAATTCCCTGAAAGATGATCTTCAGCCGCGCAAAAATCCTTCAAATTGTCACCAGTTGCATTACGAAATAAGGCACCAAGGAATCAATTAATGTTCTTACATGCATGAATCCTTCAAGATGCCAACAAGCACTAGAATTGGATAGAATTTATTCAAAACCCCTTCCCCTGTAAACCGTCATGAGCCATGGGTCCATTCTGAATAATCCATCTTAATCAACTTTTAAGCCCTTAAATGATCTTAAACCACCAATAAATCCCCATTAGAAGCGCTGATTAACCAAAAAAAATTCCCATCAAAATGATCGTAAGCGACTAACTATTCCCCCAACAAATATGATCAATCACTTGCACTTCCTTAATAAATAATACCCATCAATGGAGTACCTAGAGTCCAATCCAATTGCTGCAAGAGCCCCATAACCCATCTGTTAAAAAAAAAAGCACAAAATGATCAAATATATCACACTCAGCCGAGAATCTAAATCATTTCATACAACTCCGGGAAAATTGCTTTCCTAAAAAACAAAGCTAAAACTTCAACTAGGCAATTCTGCAACAATATCAAATAATCAGGACCAAGCGACAACCGTCAGAGAAAGGCCACAAAGCTGCAAAAACGATGATTCTAGGGCAACAAGTGTCTAACCCGCGACACCCTAACCCAGGAAAAACTCTAATTCTTTCCTATTGCGATGGTTAGAGAGAGAAACAGATTATAGTTAGAATTAGGAAAGAGGTAGGGGAAGAGAGAGAGTTGAAAGAAGAGGCACTGTACACTGAAATTCAAGAACTAGGGTTCTGGTTTTTCAACAAAGAGGGGGGGAGTCTTTACACTGAAATTGAAGAAGAACTTTTTATATTAGGGTTTTCAAGGGAGGGAGTTTAAGGGGAAGATGACATCATCTGAAAGACAAAAAGTCGTCTTCCAAATAAAAGAAAAGAACGAAGAAAAAGAGAGACGTGAATGAATGAATTTCGACTTTCTTGTAACTGAAACTAATAATTAAGTTCACCTTTATTTACTGCGAGAAATAAATGGGCTGAAGAATGCGAAGTGGGAACACGCAGAGAACGTCGCGACTTACACTATCATCTCGGCGCTTCATATGACTTACCCAAAAATAATCTCAGCGCTTCATATTATTCGCCGAAATATCCTCTTTCACCGAAGACTTTCCGGTGCTGATCCGAAATGGTGTCAATATTCCTTATTTTTTAAAACATGAAGTTAAAAACTTGAAATGGTGTCAATATTCCTTATTTTTTAAAACATGAAGTTAAAAACTTTCATTTTCATTGGGAGTTCTATAGAAACACTTTCTAAATAAAATGGAATGGGCTGAGAAACCGATATCTCTTAGTAGGGAAAATTTTGATATTTCCACTCTAACTTTGGTTAGCCGCAATCGAGAGGGTAATTATTGAAAATCAAACCCATAAAAAAGGGATGGGTGAAGCGCCTAAAAAAGAGAGCATTCATTCAAAAAGCGGTGTACCTAACCCCCAGGCGGATATGGGACTTGGTCACACCGTAGACGGACCAAATAGGTGGGTTGTTCCTCGGCGCCCACCTAAGGACCCTAGGCGCCCGCCTAAAATGTATCCTAAGTGGGCACTTAGGGTACCTCGATGAGCGCCTAGGTAATTGCGCTCACTAAGGTGCAAAAATACCCATCAAGTGGTTAGTTTTAGTGTTTTCTTTTGTTTAGGTTATAAAAAATACATGAATATGCATTTTTATGCAAAGTCTGAACTTAAAACATGATTAGTGTATACGCCTTTCCCCCTTTTGAATGTCGACTGTCAAGGTTAAGGGCAGCCGCTAGGTGCTGGGTATCTTAGATCCCTCGACTGCCTAGGCTCCGCCCGAAGTTTTTTGGAGCACCGACAGAGAGCTCAAAATTTGACCCAAAACTTGCTTAGCAAGAAAAAAAACTTATAGAGACATAAATACTAAACATTGAGATTTTTTATTTGGAACTAGAAATAAGAAATACAGAAAAACACAAAGAACATAGAGAACAAAGGGAATTTTTATTTTATGTTTTTTAATATAAAGGAGGTTACACGCATAGGGAGGTAGAACAACAGGAGGTGAGAAGATGCAAAGTCAGTTGGAAAGGAGTTATATTGGAGGACATGCACCCTAACAGTCTTCTCTTCGAACAATCTTCCACGTCTCTAAGGATATCCCTTTTAAGGGTCGTTACTCTATAACCTTCTCGATGCATATCAACTTTCAGAATAATGTTTCCACCGAATTTTTTATCCAAAATAAAACACAGATGCATATCAACTTTTATAATAATGTTTCCACCTAATTTTTTATCCAAAATAAAACATACAACCGCTCTTGGATTAATATACTAGAATAGGGTTGGATGAGTTCATCAAAGAACATTATATATAAAATAGGTACTCTTCTTTTATCACATGATCATCTTCTAATCATTTTCCTAATTATTTGAGGCCAGCTACAGGAATCCTAGTTTGCCATTCTACTTTATCAAGGGCCATACTTTTAGTGAGACCACAAGTCCCCTATCTTTTCTCATTACTTCCAACCAGCAATTTAAAAAATGACGAGTCGATCCAGAATGGCGTAATCGCATGGGACGCACCGTTTTGGTGAAAAAGATGGTTGTAACAGTGAATTGTCCGAGTTGTTTGAAAAAATCTATGAATAATGCATAGCCAAAAGAAAGTCACGATATTGCTGTAGATTGTAGGTTTTCTACAATTATTGATCAATTTCAGCCTTTCCATTGCATTATTGTTCGAAATTATTCGTTTTTATTATAAAACAACAAATTTAGACAATTGAATCACAATGTTTTTTCGTGTTTTTCACAAACACCCTAAATTCGCCATTCTGTCAATTTCGCCAGAAATATTGATTGTTTTTTGTTCGAATCAAATGGGTTTTGAAGGGAATTGTTCTTTTACAGAAGATTGTAGTAATTTTTTATGTGATTCAGCAAATATAATAGGCCGATTTTTTAAGAAATCAGAGGTTTTGTGAAGATCAGTTGACTGAAAAAGAAATTATGCCAATATTGAGATTTGAACCGATATGGGCAGAATTTTTTCTTGAAAATAGAGGTTTTTGTTAGAAATCCTGATCTTCATATGTCATAATAGCCTTTTTTCTTAATTTGGTCAAATTTTCAAGAAATCAGAGGGATTTTGTGAAGAACAATTGATTATGCCAATCTTGATATCTGAGTCGATATAGGCCGAATTTTTTATTGAAAACAGAGGGGGTTTGCTTGTAATCCTGATCTTCATAAGCTATTGCAGGCTTTTTTTGCGATTAAGCAATACTAGTTGCTCGAATTTGCAAGAAATCGAAGGTTGCTCAAATTTTTAGGTATGCATATCTATATTTTATTGTCAATTTTATTAATGCAATAAAATCATTTTAATTGATACATAATTATGTAGGTCATTGTTTACGCTCCGATCGGCGCCGATCTCTGGGATGAGATCTGCTCAAATCTTAGCAAAAACTGAGTTACTTTTGAAAAGGTAGATAGAGTGGAGTCGCTTGAATTATGAACTCAGAAAAGTCCCAGATCTATACAGATCCGGTCTTTTTCTGAATCCAGTGGCATCACTAGCTCCAAATCCGTATTCTGTCCTAAAAAAAATGATTCTAAATTTAATTAAATCTAATGATGAATTAATTTATAGAAAAATAAAACAAATTAGAGAATTAAATGAAGAAAAACAAGTTAAATTAAGCAAACAAAGATATACTTACCTTTAGAATCCTGAAACCTAGAGTTTCGTGCTTGGATCAGGCCGCTCTTCCGATTTCCGCCACCATCTCTTTTTTTGGATGTCTTTGCCTATTGGAATTGGTAGATCTAAGGTTCTTTGACCTAGATCTGAGGTTCCTAAAGCAGGAGGAAAAACTGAGAATTTTAGGTAGGGTCTACCAAGGCTTTTCTTAGGATCAGAATAGAATTTCCTTAGTTTTAAAGGATTTTGGGATCTCCAAAGGTTAATATTAATTATGAGATTTTCTCATATTTTTTGGAATTTTTTGGGAATTTTCCTAATTTTTTTGGAATTTTCTAAAGGTTTTTTCTAGTTTTTTGTATTTTTGGGTAATTTTCTAATTTCAAAAATTTCTCAGGGATTTCTTTCTTTCTTGGTCTATTTTTCATCCTATTTTTGGGTTAGGGAGATGGGGTATTTATAAGATTCAATTGATAATTTTTCTTGATTTTTTTGGAATATTTTAGATTTATCTTGAAATTTTAGCCTTATCTATTTCAAGACAACACCTTACTGCATCATAAAACGCGTTAACTGCATCATTAGGTTGCGTCTGCATCATCACACCGTGTATGGGCATGTCAAGCCGTGTTACAGCCCGGCCTGTGTCCCGACACTTGGGTTTGAGAGAGACTAAATTGTCATTTGTTGTATCTTTTTATCCATAGTCCGATTCAGGTGATTCTTCGACCGTTGGAAAGACCTCGAGCTCTACTTCAATTTGGGATAGGATTTGGATAATTTTGAAGCAATTAGATTGGGTTTAGGTTTCTTATGGTCTACTAAGGTTTGTGTAGTCATTTAATACCAAAATCGAGGTTTTTAAGAGCTCCCTTAGCCATAATTTAGAGGGGGTGTCTACAGTTGCCCCTCTTTTCCATTCACCTGGGACACCAGGTGAATGACAAAGAAGTGAGACATGGTGGGAATGAAAACCCTTTTCGAGGGATCATTCTTTTGAACGATCAATACCCTTTGGGTAAGCTGTACGTCAATGGATGCTTTTGATCCGTAAGACATCGAACTGGCACTACTATCTTTGAATAAGTGCGGTTGAGAGATCTTTGACAATCGGGATCCGAAGTGACAGTCAACATGAATCGTGTTATCTTTAAGCCGATGACACTTCTTGTTGTAGTCACTCCAATGCTACCTAGGAAGCAGTCAGTGTAATCATCTTCTACTTTAGACCTCTTTCTTAGGGTCTGATTCTCGAATTGAATGGGATTTTGATTTAGAAAAAATGTTGAGATGATGAATTTCTGGCTAATTGAATTTCTTGTTTACCTTCGATTCTGATTCTTAAGGTCCGCAAGTTCAGGTCTTTTTTTGGTATGGGAACTTATGGGTTGGTCTTTATTTTCTTAAGGGTTTGCAAGCATGGCAATTCAGGATTTGGTGGCGGCGGACCCATATCCAAGCCTACATGAAACTCCTCATTTTTTAAAACATTTTAGAAGGTTTTGAAGGTAGATTAAATTTGAAATATAAACAGAGTTTTGTGCTACGTTTTAACCAAATGAATTAAGGTTTTTGAAAACTCACGAAACACATAAGGGAAATTTTGAAGATGGATGAGAAATTTTTAAAAACAATTTGTGGTAAATAGTTTAGGCTCATGCTACCATGGAGTTGTCTCTCTTTTTTTTATTTTAAATTTTTTTATTGAGCTTGTCGAGCCTCTACTTGGGACTTTCTGGACGAGGAATCACTAAGTACTTCCTCATCTTCCAATCTTGGCTCTTATGTCACAATTCAAGGAAGGTTTTTTCTTATTTTTCTGAGCAAACCAGTGTCTTGAAAAATATGGGATGTGCCTCAGAGTGCTCAGAATATCCTTGAAATTCCAATTTTGTTCTTCTACTACCACTCTTTTGAAGTTCAGATAGTCGAGCCTCTTTAGGTTTTACTTGGATTGATGCCTTCCTTTGCTTTCTATCGACATTCTAACTTGAGAAGAGAAGAATTTCTGGAGATTTTAGAGAAGAGACGGAAAGATAGAGAAGTTATATTTTTCTATATCCCCGGGGTCCCTTTCGAGTG